GAGTCACAATTTACCATTGTTGTATTGTCACAATGAAACCAGTTGTATTCCGACAGTCATAATTTACCATTGTTGTATTGTCACAATGAAACGATTTGTATTCCGACAGTCATAATCCTCCATGTTCTATTCAGACAGCTGCAGATGATCCCAGACACAGATAGCCAGATATCTGATACAGTTATGGCCTGATCAGCAACAACAGAGCCCTACTCGGGGATTACTGCTGTATACGCATTACTGGAACAACTCATATCAACTTATGTCTCCCCTATGATAGCTAATGAAGGACACAATTGGCAGGATAATCCGTGGATGTTGCACTCCAGCGTAAGGGAAATCAATACACAACTACCGTGGGAGTATCTGATGAAATACATAACTGTCCCCAACGATTTACATAACAGGCGATTAGTGAATATGAATTTATACCACTCGACACCGAGTACTTTTAAGTTATACGATTCGATGAAACCTGTCTCGTGCATGTGTTGTTATGTGCTCTTACTGTATGTTGATATCGACTAAGGAGACTATAATCTCTTCACCCGTCTTCCACACAGTGTAATCAGTACGTTGATTACCCGGCAGACATAGACACAAGTATGCATCGTAACGCATGCACCGACGTCCACACAATGAACATCCTCATCCGGTAGAGTCCCTGGTGCAGATACTCACGTCCAGATCCAATATACAATCTGCTCCATATCTTGCTTGCAGACGCCTAAGTGACTTCTCAATATTCATCATGCTGCGTGTTTGGTAGACACCCACGTCCACGTCCGTCGTACAAGACGTCCACAGCGATAGGAGACGTCAACGAGAGAAGATAAATACAAGGGGTGACTGAAAAGTGTTGAACCGAGCTACTAATACCTACATTTTGCCTGCATTAATAATATAATAATAATAATGTCTAATTATATTGCGCTGGGTTCCATCCACAAAGGTGCATGCTCAAGGCGCTACAATAGTCATAGATTGGAAGTTCACGGGAGGAGATAGTTCGTGGGGATAGAACTTTCTGAAGAGAAGGGTTTTAGGTTGGTTTTGAATGTCTCAAGGGTGGGGGATTCTTTAATGTTCTGAGGTAGTGAGTTCCATAACTGAAGTGCTGCTACTTGAAACGATCTGTTGCCGTAGGATTTTAGTCTTGAGTTTGGTACTGCAAGTAGGCGTTGGTTTTCAGACCTTAGACGTCGTGAAGAATGGTATGGGGAGATCAGTTCTGATAGATATCTCGATGCTGTACCATTCAAACAGTGGTAGGCAAAACACAAGATCTATTGGCTTCTATTGGTAGCCAGTGTAGGGACATCAATACCGGTGTTATGTGGCATCTTTTTGGTGCACGACTCACAATACGAGCTGCCCTATTTTGTACCTTCTGGAGTTTGTTCAGCAGATGCTGACTCAAACCATACAACAGACTGTTGCTGTAGTCCATGCGGGACATCACGAGTTGCACGAGGTGCATTACGCACAACCCCTTCCTTGCATACAGGCTGTAGTTAAATCAAGAACACAGACTGCGAGCATATGTCTGCAGGCATCAGAATAACTAGGCATTCTCTGGTGATGACAAAACTGGTTACCGCATGTCAATCCGACACCCGTTTTCAAACAGATCCAGTTTTAAATTGTTAGTTTCGTTCTTGGATTTGCCACGATGAGCCCGAGAATAAACAATGATCAGCTGGTGATGGATTCGGCTTTCCACGAATCCACTGTAGATTTGAACTCCTTGAACATCGCGGAATCCCTCAGATCTCAGTCTCTTTCAAAACTTGTTGCACCATTGAGTGGTCCCCAGTCATTCCAGCAAGCGTGTGGATCTCAGAGGAGGATTATGTTGAAAAATGGTCACCAATCCATCACAACTAGCCTCAGAACCTTTCAGCCGGTCTTCGCATATCCACGCACTACGGCCGCATCCGGTCGACAATTACACGTAAAACCAGCACAGCGTGTACTCATATTTCGAGACAAACACGCTACAACCCAGAAGACACAAGTTCAGAAAAAAAATGCTTTCACTTGCCCTACACTGACTTCATCCAGCACAGATCCAAGCACCGACTATACGACAGTGTAGACCAGGCGATCAGCTGTCACAACAGTGAAAAGGGATGTTCTTTCCGGTTTCTATCATGCGGCCAGGTATCACAATAGTTAAAGGGATGTTCATCCTCTTTTATATCAAGCGATCAACTGTCACGTCAGTGAAAGGATGCGTGCATTCTGGTAAAAATCAAGCAATCAGGTGGCCCAGCAGGAAAAAGGATGTTCATTTTTGTGTATATCGAGCGTTCAGCTGACACAGCAGTAAAACGAAGTCTAATGATTGTCTAAAATAAACGGTCAGTAAACTAACAGCATTTAAAGGAGTGATTGTTCTTGTTTATACCAAACAGTAAATGGGGTGTGCACTCTGGTCTCTACCGGGGCGGTGGGGTAGCCTAGTGGCTAAGGCGTTCGCTCGTCACGCAGAAGACCCGGGTTCGATTCCCCACATGGGTACAATGTGTGAAGCCCATTTCTGATGTCCCCTGCCGAGATATTGCTGGAATATTGCTAAAAGCGGTGTAAAAACAAACTCACTCACTCTGAGCTCTAGCGATCGGTTATGTATGGGCTGACCAATCAGCTGACCAATCAGCTGACACAACAGTAAAAGGTGATATTTAGTCCAGTTAATGTAGAGGGACAGCAATAAATATTGATGTATTTTTTCTGGACAGTATGTTTCATCTGTATCACGCGATGTCAAGACACTCTCTAATTACGGTACGTCGACAACTGAAAGACAGGTCGAAGATAGAAATGAAATATTCATAACCAGGATAAGAAGGCATGCATCTGCTGTTTGGGCAATTATTCTCTTGCGAGAACACCCGCCGCTAAGAGAGAATATGTGTTACTGGGGGATGATTCTATAGCGAGAACACTCACCATAAAGAGGGTACGTGTGTAATATGGGATTATTCAATAGCTAGAACTAGAACCACACATAAAGTATATGTCTTGTTGGGGGATTATTCTATAGCGAGAACCCTCATCACAGAGGAGGTACATGTGTAATGTGGGATTATTCAATAGCGAGAACCCTCATCACAGAGAGGTACATGTGTAATGTGGGATTATTCAATAGCTAGAACTAGAACCACACATAAAGTATATGTCTTGTTGGGGGATTATTCTATAGCGAGAACCCTCATCACAGAGGAGGTACATGTGTAATATGGGATTATTCAATAGCTGGAACTAGAACCACACAGAGAGTATGTGTCCGACTGGGTGATTATTCGATAGCGAGAACGGTACCACGAGAACCCTCACAAGGAAGATACGGATTGTTTTTAGGGAAGGATCAATCAGTAATCTAAAACCCTCACCACATAGAAGGTACATTGGGAGATTATTCTATGGCAAGACCCACATTCACTTGGAGGTGGGAGAGGGAAGATTTATTCCATAGCCAGAACCACGTGTGCTTGGAGGGTATATGTGTTACCAGGGTAACAGTCAATAGCTACAGATGTCCTATTGCAAGAACCACGACTACAAGGATTGGGTATGTGTTATTGGGGGCAACATCTGAATATAGAATAGTCTTTGTTTACTTGTTTACCATGCTCAGACACGAAAATGTCGACAGTATACAAACACGATACGTTTTGGTACAACGTACACACGGATGCACACAGTATTTTGTTATTTTTGTGAATTCCGACGGCATAAAAATTCATAGACAGACCCACAGGGCTCTCTGATTTCATTGATTTCAATATATACAGCCACTGTCAAATCTTCTGAAGTGTAACACTGTTAACGATCGGTTGTACAGAAAACAAGTTGATATCATGCCATTTCTTGAGACTTGGCATTTTTATTGACAATAGGACCAATCATATACAAGCACAATACTTATGACATACGCACTCAGGTGACATGCGCTCCGGGGCTGCTGTCAGCTGACGTGATGTCGCCTCGTCACGGACTGGTTACATCAGTGAATAGAAGTCACTTACAGTGTATTGATTACTAATGTGGTCGCGAGTAGCGGTAGAACAGCGACTGCTTTATCACTGTGATTATCTCAGTCACAAGGCTATCTACAATGTCTTCATGCTCCACAAACTCTGGGAGGCACCAAACACTCCGCATGGGAAAGGGGTGGTTTCGGATGTGAGGATGAGGACATGTGGAATGATGTTGTCAGGGTGTGGTGAGGGTGAGGACAGTGGTATGATGGGGTGAGGACAGTTTTATGATGGGGTGAGGGTGAGGACAGTTTTATGATGGGGTGAGGGTGAGGAAAGTGGAATGATGTGGTGATGTGATGATGTGGTGATGTTGAAGACATGGAATGATGGGACAGTGAGGTGGTGAGGCTGACAATGGAATGATGTGGTGATGCTGAAGACATGGACTGATGGGACAGTGAGGTGGTGAGGCTGACAATGAAATGATGTGGTGATGTTGAAGACATGGACTGATGGGACAGTGAGGTGATGAGGCTGACAATGGAATGATGTGGTGATGTTGAAGACATGGACTGATGGGACAGTGAGGTGGTGAGGCTGACAATGGAATGATGTGGTGATGTTGAAGACATGGACTGATGGGACAGTGAGGTGAGGCTGACAATGGAATGATGTGGGTGATGTTGAAGACATGGACTGATGGGACAGTGAGGTGGTGAGGCTGACAATGGAATGATGTGGTGATGTTGAAGACATGGACTGATGGGACAGTGAGGTGGTGAGGCTGACAATGGAATGATGTGGTGATGTTGAAGACATGGACTGATGGGACAGTGAGGTGGTGAGGCTGACAATGGAATGATGTGGTGATGTTGAAGACATGGACTGATGGGACAGTGAGGTGGTGAGGCTGACAATGGAATGATGTGATGTTGTGACTAGGATACAGGAACAATATAATGTATGATTTTATTGTAAGCAAGGCATAGTAAATACTTTAAAGCAACGTACCTGTGACATTGACCACTGCACAGGCCATCTCCAGGAAAACCCCTTTGTACCAGTCGATGCCCTTGTGGGACTGGAAGGGACTTGTTGAGTTCAGTCACCTATGGTCTCAGGGGCGCGTGAAAACCATCACGTGCTCCGCTGCTAAGTCATAATCTCAGTAAGTTTCCGTTTGAATCTGTCATACAGGTGAAGAATTAATTCCTATTTGAGGGTCCCTGACGACGCATCCATAAGCTGGTTAACTCATTTGTTGTACCGGGGCCTTGTAGGTAAGCCGGAACTGTCCTGTTTTTGGTAGCACCGTGAGGCTCAACTCCTCATATCACTTGTGTTTATCCCCACACTTGGAACCGTCTCTTCACACGGTGGCGTGTTACACTTGGCGTCTGTTGGCACCAGTGACGACGAGGACTCCAGCCACTCTCCTGATCAATAAGACGAATGAGTGAGTTTAAGTATGTGCATATATCAAGACTCAACTCCTCTATAACACTGCTTTGTCTCGGTAGCTCAATGGGATTCTATCATTATGTTGAACGAGAGAAATCTCATGGGAATCTTGTTATAGGGCGATTTATAGATTCAGTCAATATGGTTATATCTCATTTCAACTATCTCGCCCACAGTTAGTCGAAATGACAGACCTCAGCAAACCGCACAATAAGCAGTGGCTGCTACACCATGATTACAACTCGACAATAATCCATAGGTTGTGACAGTTGTTGTGTGCGTGGAACATTGTACATATCCCAGCCACAATACTTCATGAGTTGTGACAGTTACCGTGTGAATACAATATTGTACATATCGCAGCCACAATACTTCATGAGAAGTGACAGTTACCGTGTGAATACAATATTGTACATATCCCAGCCACAATACTTCATGAGATGTGACAGTTACCGTGTGAATACAATATTGTACATATCGCAGCCACAATACTTCATGAGATGTGACAGTTACCGTGTGAATACAATATTGTACATATCCCAGCCACAATACTTCATGAGATGTGACAGTTACCGTGTGCTTGGAACATTGTACATATCCCAGCCACAATACTTGAAGAGATGTGACAGTTACCGTGTGCGTGGAACATTGTACATATCCCAGCCACAATACTTGAAGAGATGTGACAGTTACCGTGTGAATACAATATTGTACATATCGCAGCCACAATACTTCATGAGAAGTGACAGTTACCGTGTGAATACAATATTGTACATATCCCAGCCACAATACTTCATGAGATGTGACAGTTACCGTGTGAATACAATATTGTACATATCGCAGCCATAATACTTCATGAGAAGTGACAGTTACCGTGTGAATACAATATTGTACATATCGAGATGTGACCACAATACTATCATGAGAATACTTCATGAGATGTGACAGTTACCGTGTGAATACAATATTGTACATATCCCAGCCACAATACTTCATGAGATGTGACAGTTACCGTGTGAATACAATATTGTACATATCCCAGCCACAATACTTCATGAGATGTGACAGTTACCGTGTGAATACAATATTGTACATATCCCAGCCACAATACTTCATGAGATTGTGACAGTTACCATGTGAATACAATATTGTACATATCCCAACCACAATACTTCATGAGATGTGACAGTTACCGTGTGAATACAATATTGTACATATCACAGCCACAATACTTCATGAGATGTGACAGTTACCGTGTGCTTGGAACATTGTACATATCCCAGCCACAATACTTCATGAGATGTGACAGTTACCGTGTGCGTGGAACATTGTACATATCCCAGCCACAATACTTGAAGAGATGTGACAGTTACCGTGTGAATACAATATTGTACATATCCCAGCCACAATACTTCATGAGATGTGACAGTTACCGTGTGAATACAATATTGTACATATCGCAGCCACAATACGTCACGAGCTGTGACAATTATTGTGTGAATACAATATTGTACATATCCCAACTACAATACTTCATGAGATGTGACAGTTACTTGTGTGCGTGGAACATTGTACATATCCCAGCCACAATACTTCAAGAGATGTGACAGTTACCGTGTGAATACAATATTGTACATATCCCAGCCACAATACTTCATGAGATGTGACTGTCACCGTGTGAATACAATATTGTATATATAGCAGCCACAATACTTCATGAGATGTGACAGTTATCATGTGAATACAATATTGTACATATCGTAACCACAATACTTCATGAGCTAACACAGTGAGTGAGTGAGTGAGTGAGTGAGTGAGTGAGTGAGTGAGTGAGTGAGTGAGAACGGGTGGACGGGTGGGTGGTCATGGGTGGGTGGTCGGTTGGATGGGTTTCGTGGGTGGCTTTGGGTGAGTGAGTGAGAATGAAGAATAGGTCTATTTCAAAAGAGCTGACATCGAATGACATTATAATAACCAGATTATAACATTTCTAAATATAGTTTAATAGCATGCAAATATTAAACTATCAGTTAACAAACACAGTATAAAAAGGGGCCAAAGATCGCAAGAAGCCAAAGTTAGGACACCACACTAAGGCCTTTCTTCTGCTTCCTGCACGGCTTCCTGCACGCCCTCCTGCAAGGCTTCCTGCACGCCCTCCTGCACGGCTTCCTGCACGCCATCCTGCACGGCTTCCTGCACGGCCTCCTGCACGGTTTCCTGCACGGTTTCCTGCACGGCTTCCTGCACGGCCTCCTGCACGGCTTCCTGCACGGCCTCCTGCACGGTTTCCTGCAAGGTTTCCTGCACGGCCTCCTGCACGCCCTCCTGCACGGTTTCCTGCATGGCTTCCTGCACGGTTCCTCAGCAAGATATTTTACCATTCCTTCAGCTGCTAGCAACTGCAGTGAATGTTAGCTATTTACATGTACCTAAAATGTACAAATATACTAAGATTAAAAACGGTGATAGATATGAATATTCACTGAATGATGTTGGATGATATACCTTTTCAGGGAGGACAATAGTTTTTCATTACTCCAATCCCCGTCAAGGATATACATAATACATTATAATAATGCATTTATATAGCGCCTAGTATCCATCTGACTAGTTGACACGGGACTCTGTAATCACAAATTGATTATTATTACCCCGGATAACCCAAGCTGCATGTGAGGCGTTAGAAGGTTAATAGTCACATGACTTATCTCACCGGGTACCCATTTTCTGCTGGATGAACAGAGGCAATTTTGAACAAACTCACTTGTCTAAGGTGAGCCACATGTATCACATGTGCTTTGTTGTTGTGCATGACTGAAGTCCAAGAAACCCTCAGGAGTCAAGTTACCAAACAATCATAAGTTCATAATCATATTCTACCTACATATATATGAATAACGTCAAAATGTATCATGTGGTTCAATTCCTTTTGAAAAACCAATAATCAAATAAGAACTAATTATATCTAAAAAGTCCTTCATAGGATGATTTGAAATTTTATCCTTTGTGAAGGAAAAATCAAAACAGTCAAGCAGAACATGCCTCACTGTGATTCTTCACAAAGGAACAAAACATGGGATCCGGATCGTCCAACAAATATTCATGTGTGTATCTCGAGTGGCCAATGCCACATCTGTACTGACAACACAAGTAGGTTTAACCGATAGTTGGTTTAATTTCATGTAACTTATTTATACCTACATCTTTTGCATTTGACCTTTAATGTAATTTCTCATTACAGGCATTTAATCACAGATTAGATATGGTGTCACAGATTGGTGAGTGCTGTTTTGAGTGCTGTTTTGGCTGCAGCATCAGTCATAGTGTAATGCCAACCTTGCTGGGTAACCAACAGAAGAGAATGTCGTACTGGCTAGTAGCGAGATTAATATATAATTCTATGATTTTAAATAAAAGTGGATGTTTACAAGAAATATTCGTTATGGCCTGGAGACAGGAAAGGGAAACAGAAAATGTACTGGACAAAAATAGGTAGTGATCTATGTAAAATCTATTTATTCATTGACACACTGATAAAATATCAATCATAAAAATACCAATATCACTGACATATTTTGTCCAGTATATTATGAAATGCTATCAATTTATTTAGTTTGAGCATTTACATAATTTAAAGCTATTGATTCTGCTGTAAACATTGAACTGTCATTTAGTAATCATGATGATATGGTTCTGGATCTCCTGAAAGTATTACTGACATCTGTAAATATTGATTTGTAGTTACTGTAACTGGTTCTTAATTGATTATATTCTTGCAGATACATAAGTTGCTTTGTGGTCGATTTGTTTAGTTTAGTGTTAACGAAAGATCCACCTGTGGCTTAAGCAGTTGAAGAGTGAAAAGTATTTGGGTTGGGTAAATTTTGTTACAGCAGTGTTCTTATGTAGTGTTCTTATGCCTAGGGATGGAATAAGTTATTTTTTCTTGCAACACAGAATTATAAACACAGTCAATAGCTGGATTAGTTAGATTTTAAAATGGTTTAGTGGGACAGTTTTGCGTCGTTGTTTTAGAGATGGCTGTGGGACAGTTTTTGGGTCGTTGTTTTGGAGATGGCTCATCAGCTTGCACATACATTCTATTATTTGGATTCTAAAGGAATCAAGGCAAAACCTCAGGCCTGGATGATGAAATGTAACCAAAAGACGTGTCACATGCCTTTTCTAGATAAAGAAAATAGATAGACACTGCAAATTTGTTGTTAATAATGACATTTTTAACAAATGACTACATGCGGACTAAATGTTAAACGGTACGAATTTTTCGAAATTCACTTTAAATATTTGTTGATAAGTTATTTAATTCTAAGTACCATATCCATACGTTCCACGGTTGTACAAATGAAATGGGACGATAATGCGATCGACTGGTATGATGAGGTGCAGGTTTCGGCATGGGAACAACTTTGGCATCGTTCCCTGATGGTGGGGATTTACCAGATATCCAAGTGTCATTAAATATATCTAACAGGGTTTCTGAACATGATTCTGGTAAATGTTTCAGGAGTTGATAATGTATATCATCATCACCTGTAGCGGAATCATGAGCTTGGCCAAGAGCATCATGAAAGTCTCGAATAGAAAGATATTTCAGATAATCTGATTATTCTGTTATCTGAATTGAAATTTATGTTTCTCTTTTCTTGCTGCTTTCGATATTTTTTAAGACGAGGAAGAATGTTTAGCCAAAGTTTCACCAAGTTTATTTGCAATATATATACACTCACGAGCAAAAGAAACGTCCCCAAAATTCAATTTATATTATATTTGCTGGATATGGTCAAAAACATGAAAAACAGTACTGAACACATTGCCCAAACACACAAATGTATGACTCCCCAAGGAAATGCACGTGTTGCATGCCAGAAGCGGGAATAATGACTTTATTTAGTGAAATTTCATGCACGTGCAGGAAATCACCCGTATGGAGATCGGTCATAAAACACGTTGGAAACTGTTCTTTGCAAACACAATCTTCTGA